TTAAACGTTATATTTATTATCGAAACAAATTTCGATGATTTCATAAATAATGATTTGAAAGCAACTGAAGAACATGTGACCAAACAATTGCGACAAATATTTTCAATGCCTGATAAATATGAAATTGATTTGGTATTAAGTCAGGGAAGTGTTGTCATAAACATGAATATCACAGTCAAAGAAAAAATAGATAAGAATATGTTTAACAAAAATATCAATTTAATTGATATTAAGGGCAAAGAATATTCTGCAAAATTCCTGAAAAGTGAAGAATTGGTTGGGAATAGAGGTGAAGATGAATCCACGAATAGTACGGCTCAGCCATTAGCTACTACTCTAGAAATACAGACAACTGGTAAGAATATTCTGATTTTTAAAATATTATACAAATGTTACAAAATATATTAACAAATTCTTAAATATACAGAATTGACAACAAAACCAACATCTGTTACCACCATAACAATTACTACAACACCTAAACCTACACAACAGGTTATGTACCAAGATTTCTATGTATTGGTTTAGTACTAATGCCATACCATTGCCGTCATATCGAACTATTACTACAGATAACGACAACAACTGATTCCCCGCCGCCAATGTTGATGACAATGATGATTGATGGCGATTACGATATAGTGGTGGGCGGTGACAAAGAAAAGTTTCTAGACAAAATTAAACCTCAGTTGGCTGCCTACCTACGGGTTCCCCTAAAATGCATAGAAGACATTAGATCGAGACCTGGATCAATTATTGTGGAACTTTATTTGGTTACCTCTTCGAACTCCGAGTTCCCCATCAATGAGGAGGCGCTCAAAGCAGCCAAACAAGAGTTTTCCGACAAAATCCGTTCAAATAATGTTTTTATAATAGACTCGAAGGGTGCACACCATAAAGTGCTGTCCATTCTCAACACTGATAATAGTGGTTATAAGAATGCTAACGGCCCCCAATATGTCAACACGTATATCATATTAGGCTTAGGTATCGGTGCACTGATTCTGGTGGTGGTGTGCACGTTGATCACCGGGTGCTCCGTATACTCCTATATGCATAAGAAGTATAATCGCAAGATTAGACCACAAACTCCTTCAGTAAATATTTATTACTAATTAATAATAATAATAATTAATTTAATAATAATTTTTAGACGGAGTTCCGGGGCTCGTCGTCTAGAGACGGCATAAATGTTAATAACATTAAACTATACGAAGGGATGCCTACTCTGGAGAGGTCGAGCAGTACTGGACATTATTCTTACGATTCTGGTGTATGGATAGGCGTACCCCAGGATCCCGACCTAATTAACTCGCATAATGTGCCAGATCCTCCCAATTATATGCCACCAAATGATAGGGAGATATCGATTACACCAAAACCTCCGTCAGAAGTGGTCGGTATCTATAGATAATACCATGTTTATAATACATTTTTATAATATTTACTTTTAAATGATTTAATATTACAATTAATACCAATTTGAGCAATTGTAATTTTTTTCTTAATTTATTTTAATCAATGCTAAGTAAAATAATATAAATGTTTACTAATAAGTGATTTAATTAATGAATAGTTAATGAATCTTAAGAAAGAGTGGACAGAATTGGGATATAATGACAGCACACATATCAATATGCCTTTCCCTCAGTCATTGTCTCGTCTCCAGTAAATGAATTGCCAATATTCTGGTGACTATTAGTAAAACATTTGTCAATCATAATTCTGGTTTCATAATTGCTGTATTATTATTAAGAATTCCTGTGATATGTGTACAAAAGGAAAAGCTGTTTATTTTATTAGCAACCGATACATCCTTTCATATCATCTGTATATATATTAATATTATTATTATTTTGGCGAGACTTATTGCACTTAAACATAAATCTTTATTACTTATCCCTAAAGTTTTAACTGTTCACTGAATTATTGCATCGTAATTATAACCCGTATATTACAACACTTTCTGTATAATATGCCATCAATTCCTGAGTAATGTATTTATTTATATATAAATGTTTTTATGAAATATCTAAACAATTTGTTATAAATGCAGGTATAATAACAAAATGAAATTATTCATAGAATATTACATTCGTATTGCATTGTATAGGTGCCTTATGGTATATTTGCACCGGGATCACTACAATTGGCTAAATTCTTTAAACCGAAAATCAATTAAATCTTTAAATCTTTAAATATATTTTTATTTATAATTACTTGTATATTTGAATTTTATAAAAATTAAAATTTCATATCAAATAAATTTTAAATCATACAAAATATATTTTGCAATTTATTTCCTAAATTAAAAAGTTATGTTAACTGTCTGTCCATTACTATCTATTTCCTGACATTGAATTAACGTGTGTTGTTAACGTTACAACATAGAAAAATGTATAACTTTCAACTTGAACTAGGTTATAAACTAATTAAAACTTGTAAAAATATCAAAAACTTATAGACACTATCATACAGTACTGTACAGTATTGAGTGTATTGACTGCAGTGCACAACAGGTGACACTATAGTAGAGCACTGAAAGTGATGTCATTGCAGTGAAAGTCATGTGTTTTCGTATGTTTTGGTGTAAAAGTAATTCAAAACAAATGAAAACTCAAACTCAAAGTCAAACTCAAAACACAATTGATTTGTGAAAACGCTTTGCAATTAACGACAAAATTCCCGTTTTATATATAAATACAATGTTTTGTGAAGTCTATGAAAGCGTGTATAAGATATTAGTTCACAGTTTAAGCGACAAATTGCTATAAAATTAGCGAAAAGTGAGCGAAAAATAGTGTCAATTATTTTGAGACAACTTTTTTCACTGGTTTTTGTGTTTCACTTATTTTTCGTTTCAAATATCCGTTTATTTTCTTAACTATTGATTGAATGCATTATTTGGTTGTATTTCCCACTGTTTTGGCCCTAATTTTATCGCTTTATACTAAATGTGTTGCAAATAATCCGCAAAATTGTAACCAAAATCTCAAAAATCTATTCAACAGTCCATTGATTTGCGAAACCAATCAAACCATTCATAAGTCTATGAATGCAAACACTGGACAACAAATGGTACCCGACTTGAGGTCAGTATCCACTCACCACCAACTCATGAGTGATATCTTATGTCTATTATCCCTACCATTCAGTGTCCAACTGATCACCTGGAATGTCAAGTCAGAGCAATGCAAATGTGATTTAACACAACTGCTGGACATCGATGCCGATCGACTGACCACTGGTGCTGGCGATCAACCATTAGCTGATATCTATGCCATAGGCCTACAGGAGGTGGCCTTCCGGCCGACCGCTCTGTTATTCACCGACCCCTGGGTTGTGGCCTTTGACCGGGTGTTCAAGCAATTGGATTACGTGCGGCTCAAACAGATCCGTTTGGTCGGCATTTTACTCATTGTCTACACTAAACGCCATAAATTACCACATTTTAGGTCCATTGAGGTATGAATATGGGATCAATTGGTCTACTTTTATGACTATTATCTGTGTTTTACGTATAATTAGTTGTTTTTTGTTTTGAATAACTTTTGTTTGTCCAATGATTTTGATTTACGACTTCATTTCATATCACATTATCACTGCGTTTAATGTCATGAATATATCCATAAATCATGACATTTGCACAACAGTTGTGCCGAGAATTTGTTGTTTTATTAATTAATTTTGTTTTATATTTACGCGTTTGTTATCACTAAAAATAGTTTTAGTTTTAATTGAAAGCATTTACTTTATACTTCATAATTGATTAGCACACAAAAGGCTAATTTATAAATATTTATGACTTTTGGCATTCAATTAGTTTTTAAAAGTGTATCATTTGTTTGAATCTCTATTTTTAATGCTTTATCACAGACTCAATACACACGTACGGGGTTTGGAGGTCTTTGGGGCAATAAGGGAGGCGTCAGCGTTAGTCTCATAATGGATGGGATATCGCTATGTATAGTGAATACTCATTTGGCCCCACATTACGAGAATTTAGAGCAAAGAATCACTGATTATAATACTATTACTGATGGCCAGTACTTCTGGAGTAACAAAAAGCCAAATATTTTGAGTCATGAGTTAGTATTTTAATTATTTTACGTGATTTTAGATTTGTTTTAAATTATTCGTCAATTGTTGATCAGTTATGTCCTATGGATGGGTGACCTGAACTTCAGGATCGACGACCTAACCGGCGATGAGATTCATGATATCATACTAAACGCACCCCAAACTCAACGTTCAGATCATTCAGTCAATAGTTTTGCGCAACTCTTAGCTAACGATCAGGTATTCTTAATATGATATAATAATGTGATGTCTTTTATTAATTGTTTATCATTTTATGACATATCAGTTAAATCGTGTCAGACATGAGGGGCTGGCGTTCAGCGAGTTTAGCGAAACAGAGCCCACGTTTGCGCCGACCTATAAGTTCTTCGTTAATACCGATAATTATGACTATAAGTGAGTGTTTTATTTGTTTGTAAATTGTATTATACGGTAATGTGGTTTCTATCTCCCGGTGCTCTCCAATAAGGTCACGAAAGCCCGCATATACTGATCGCGTGTTGTATCGGTTTACTGTCAACGCATACGACAATCTGAAACTGGATTTAAAACAATTGAATTATAAGTCTCACCCGCAGTACAAACAGTCGGACCACAAACCCGTGTCCTCTTTGTTTCACCTGAAGACCAAAGAGTCGGTCCAACGAGTGCTTCGCAAACGAATGGCACCGTTGGGTGAGTTTGACTCACAGGAACTGGACGCTGGTGTCGATGGCGGTGACCAACAAGTCTACGTTACATTCCATCCAATCACTGATTGGAAAGTCAATAGAGACTCGACGGCCTGGTATACAATCACTCCCAACAACCGGAACGCCATCGACTCCATGTCGCCCTGGGATTGGATCGGTAGGTCATCAGTGGTTATACCGTATTGATTGTGGACATAATTATATTTATTTTCTCAATAGGTTTATTTAAATCAGATTTTCTATCCACTGATGAACTCTTGTCGTATGTTTGGGCGAATCCAGTGCCCAGTCGGTGGTCACCGCCCGACTCGAGTGATAATAGCACACAAAATGCTGATAACGAGAGCGCCGGCACTTCCGACACTGAAAACGCTGAGCCATGGTTTTCAGTGCAATATTCCGATCAAACACTTCTGATCGCCGATCAGTTCCGCTTAGTATATGTGACACAAAACGGCGATGTCTTAGGAATTAGTGAACCCTTTTTGATCACCAATTAACACATCTCTGGTATTCAATCACTGAATTTGATTCGAGTCTATGATATCTAGAATATTCATAAATAATAATAATAAGTTTATAATTATTGTTACAAATAGTTTTAAATGTAATTTAACACCGAAACTCTTTCTACTAAAGTTTTTTTTGCATATTTTTGTAAATAAAATATAAGCCTTTTTGAGTTACTTTTAAAACTTTTAGAGTATTATATAAAATTTATATTATAAATATTGTTTTCAACTAATTTTGGATTATTTTTTGTTCACTTGTTTTTGTAAATGTACTCGTACTTATTTTTTATATTACCTATTTACTATTTACTAATTTGTTTTTAATATTTTTTAATATAAAACTTAATAAAACATAAATTTTAAAACTGTTTTAATTGAAGCAATAATTTATGTTTACAAACAGGATATTAAAACTCCATTTAAGAAAATTACGGTTTTCTTATTTAATTTATAAATTTCATTTATCATTACATACTTGTAATCAAATGAGTATCTAATATCTAAAATGCCATTCAATTTATACACAATAATAAGTATGCGCTTAATATCGCTATAAAACTTACTTTAATAACTTTGTGAACATTTATTTTGCAGACATAAATGTAATATTAATACAAATCGGGTTTAGTTACTACACTGTGTGGTGTCCCTACTATTACGATGACTATGTTAGACACTATGAGGACCCCTATAATTATGCCGTTTACGACACGAGTTCACCACAATATGCCACAACAGCTCAACTCATACCACTTGTACAGCGCGCCGACGATGATATCTTATCGTCGCTGACTCGAGTGGACGACTCGTCGATAAACCGCCGTTCCTTCGACTACTGCAACGGTCAGTGTCGCGAGTGTTTGGCCTCTTGTAATCACATCAAGAAATCCCGAGTCGCTAAGGAGGGTTCACTTGTTTTTGTAAATGTACTCGTACTTATTTTTTATATTACCTATTTACTATTTACTAATTTGTTTTTAATATTTTTTAATATAAAACTTAATAAAACATAAATTTTAAAACTGTTTTAATTGATGCAATAATTTATGTTTGAAAACAGGATATTAAAACTCCATTTAAGAAAATTACGGTTTTCTTATTTAATTTATAAATTTCATTTATCATTACATACTTGTAATCAAATGAGTATCTAATATCTAAAATGCCATTAAATTTATACACAATAATAAGTATGCGCTTAATATCGCTATAAAACTTACTTTAATAACTTTGTGAACATTTATTTTGCAGACATAAACGTAATATTAATACAAATCGGGTTTAGTTACTACACTGTGTGGTGTCCCTACTATTACGATGACTACGAGTATGTTAGACACTATGAGGACCCCTATAATTATGCCGTTTATGACACTCGTTCACCACAATATGCCACAACAGCTCAACTCATACCACTGGTACAGCGCGCCGACGATGATATCTTATCGTCGCTGACTCGAGTGGACGACTCGTCGATAAACCGCCGTTCCTTCGACTACTGCAACGGTCAGTGTCGCGAGTGTTTGGCCTCTTGTAATCACATCAAGAAATCCCGAGTCGCTAAGGAGGGCGCGTTAGTCCAGTACCTGTATCTCACCCTATGCTCCAAAGGCTGCAAGAATATGGTCGACTGTTTGAACGAAAATTATTGTTTGCCTGTCATGAATGAGAACCCGGATTATTTTGTTAT